GGGTAAAACCCGACATGAACACATCCTCCATACCGTGCTCAATTTCCAAAACTGGCGTAGATACTTCTGGTAGTGGATGAATCGACGAATTTTCAAAAACAATGGCTACTCCCTTCCCATGGGGGTATTTCACCATCTGATGCAAGATGGATGAAACTGCATTTACCTGGTGCAGCCACGACCGTCCCAGGAGTAGATTGAAAGTGGCGGGAACCTCTAGGACGTGAAAGTCTACCTCATGCTGCCCCGGCCCAACCTTGGTTTGAATTTCTACTGTCCCCATTACTTCCCTGCTTGTGTTATCATACGCCCTTATCACCTGGGCTGTTGGCACAAAATCCACGGTCTTTAAACTGATTGCATATGCAGTCCTTGCCGGGCACACATTGATGGCAGACCCTGTGTCGACAAGCACCACGGGTATCCATTTGTTTCTGCACTCCACAGAGATGTAGAGTGGCTTGTTATGGTTCACACCCTCAGGTGGAAATTCCTTGTCGGAAAAAGTCAACATTGGGGTAACTCCTCCCAAAAAAACTAAGCCCACCAGATGCTCAGGCGTGGTGTCTATTGCAAGCTTGGCCTTGTCCATGGCTGATAAGATAGCTTGTCGATGCACCCGCGATGCCATAAGCAATCCCCAGATGGAGATGTCTGCTTGTAACTTTTTCAACTGTTTCAGTATAGCCTCATCTTCAAGTTGCTTCTCTTTTTGCTTCTCTACCTCCTTGTCTTTCCCAGACGCCTCTGGCTGATCTAGGTGTGGAGGCTTGAAATACCGTCCACTCCTAGTCATATGGTCGACTTCACCAATATACCAGGTATCATCTAGTTGATTGCTCCCCTAATCCTCCTCTGTATGGGCAAGACATAAATCATTGTCCTCCCACCACATTCCATCGGTAACCGACAGACACATGTCCGGCTCCGTTTCTACTGTCCTTGTACTCACAGTATTTTCAGTCAACTCATGGGCTTTAGCTTTTCTGATTCTCTCAGAATCCTCAAACCTTTCCTGTTCCAACAGCGTCAGTACAGCTGTCTGTTTCATAATTCCCGTATTCAAAGTGCCCAGATCTCGAGTGAAATTTTTAGCACCGGCGCTCTCCGGCAATGCACTCCGATCCTCGGCCCTTCCGGCCACAACTGATGTCCTTGCCCCTGACGGGCCCCATTTCAACTGAAATTATTCGACAACGTCTGGTAGGTCATCAAGCCACCCGGTAGCCTCTAATGATTCCTCGAAATATGACCAGTTGATGGCCACGTCCGCTGGGCTTTGTTCGTTAAAAAATTGGAGGTCAGCAAAGTCCCTTTCCACAGCTGCTAAGTCCTCTGATCTCTGATCAAATCTATCCCCCTGTATCACACAAAGCTCTGCCCTTTCTGGCAATTCCATACTTGATCTATCTTGGCCTACCGACAAAATGTAGTCACTCGGACTGTACATCTCTCCGGCAAAATTCCCAGATTCCTCACATTCTGACTCAACAATCCCATTCTCCTCTGAAATCTCCCCTGTTCTGTCTTCGACAGTCACCACCATTGGTTCGAGTTAGGTTCTGGAGATGTCCTAACTGCACAAGTTAGTGCAGTTAGGAAGGAGCACCTCCGGCTTGGGTAGGTGGGATGGGGTGATATATATGCTAGGATCATAAGACACGACCCCAGTCTAGATAAAGGTGATTCTTTTGGGAGGTGGAGCATGGTGGTGTGGTGGGAGAGGGTTTGTTGTGACATTGGGTTTTTCGGGAGGCACAATCACCACATTATCAATGAGATCTTGAGCCTCGTGACGTAATCGGAAGCATTGGTCGGTGTCATGACCGTGCTGTTGGTGAAATGCGCAATATTTCGTTGGGTTGTGGGTAGGGGGAACTTTTTCTGGCAATGGCCACGGCTCTAGGGGCTTCAAGTGCCCTTTTCTGATTAAAACCCCTAGAGCTTTGGACAGGGGCATATATAGTGGAGCGAAGGTTCTTTGATTTTTGGGTTGGTATTTGGCTATTTGTGTATCGCTTCCGGACGCACCGGAGAATGGCGTAGCTGCCATGGTTCTTGGAGGGGTGTTGGTGGTGACCATGCTCACTTCTGAGGCTCTTGTGGTCGCAGCGCCACTCGGGCCTGCATTGGTGTTACGGTTGAAAGTTCTCCTGGGTTACTCTCTATCATTGTCAATCAAGCCCTACTTCAAGGCATCCTCAATCTGTACTCCCATCTCATGCAAATTCGAAAGGTAGGGAAGGGGAGCACGATCATTTTCTGCATCAACTTAGGCTGGAGATTGCGTATAATCATCCGAATTTGATCTTTATCGGTGGGCCTTAGGGTCATCATTGAGGCTTTGGCCTCCATCCGGTTACGAACTCCGAAAAGCTCTCCTTAGGCTCCTGCCTTGTCGTCTTGAGATCACGGGTTGTAATCTCAATTTGCGTGTTATAAGAGTACTGTGCAATGAATGCCTCGACCATCTCATCCCAGTTTCTCTTAACATCATCTTCTAATTTGGCGTACTAGATGGCCGCCACACCCGACAGGGTCCGGCCGAACAAAGATAGCTTCTGCAGTTTAGTGAGGGCCATCGACCTTAAGATATCTGAAAACAACCGTAGATGTACCATGGGATCCCTGAATCCATCAAAACGGTCAATGTGTGGCATCTTGAATCGATCTGGCAGCGTCACAGCCGCGTCGGTATACCCGTCCTCGATATCTGGAATGGACTTTACCCCTTGGGACTTCTTGAACAACTTCTCAAGCTTGCTCAACTTCAATGCTGTAGGGTCTACCTCGAACTCGAAGGGGGAGTCCAGTTGATTGATAGGCGTGGGTGCCTTGGATAGTTGCGGTAAAATCAGAGGCGGAGCCGGCCCCGTTGGGATGTCTGTATCTTCTTGGGCATTCTGGACGTTTGCCGTCTCCTCAGGTATCGGGACTCTTGTTGGGGAAGGAACCTGGTGTGAAGCGGATGCTCCGGTTCGCTGCTGTAACCGGGTAATTAGCTCTGCCTATTGGGCCATAACAACAGCTTGCTGCTTAGCAAATTCTGCTTGACGAACAGCGTGTTCTTGCATGGCTTTCATGCTTTCCTGGAGCTGGCGTACCATGTCTTCCATCCCTGACATACTACCCTGATTTATCTGAACTGCCGGTGTATCTGCCTCTATAGTAGGCCCGGAAATCTCAACCCAACTGTTCAATGACCACTAATCTGGCAGTCTCGGTACCGATATACTGCATCTTCTCGACCTCCGTCTGATAACCGGGGGTGAGGAATAAAACACTGGTTGTCCGTAGACCAGATCCTCAGATCGATTGAGTCGGCGACCTCTAATCCAGAGTGCTTGGGGAATATCTACTGGGTCGGAAGGAATTGTGCTAAACTACCTAGTAAGAAGATAAATAAAGCAATAATAAATAACCAGACAAACGGATAGCATAGCAGCATAAAATAAACACACAACACACTGTTGGGCATCATAACATGCGGTTGATAAGTTGAATACACTGTTCCTCAATACTAATTATTGTCCCCGAATCACTGTTCCCGAAAATCGAATCTGATACCTGCAGATAACTGACTCCCAAAATACTGAGCTGGTGCCCGCAGGCCTGATACCCAAACTTCTGAGCTAATACATGCATTCTTGTAGAGGCCAACTCTAAAGCACATAACAGATAAGTGAGAGCCAAAACACCGCTATGTTGGGGTAGGGTTTCCTTACCCTATTTTGTCAAGAACTAGGGTTTCACTATGCACGCAGCGGTTTCAAACAACCTATAATCGGGTAGTAACCTGTCTTAGCTTGGAATGGTCACTATGGATTCCGAATATGCACTAGGTCGAATGGTCAAAAGGGTGCCCCGATAAAATCGGGGTTTGTGTTCCCACACTGGCAGAGCCCATAACCGGTCAACCTTATGGCACGCAGCCTCAGGCTAACCGCTCAGGAATAGCAGATGGCAAACACGGTGTCCTAGGCGCACCAATGCACATGCAATGCAAAGAAACACATAAATGTAGTCAAAACAAGATATCACGAGTTCGAGTCAAGCTCTCCAAACTCCCCAGCAGAGTCGCCAGAAACTGTGGACGTCCCCGAACATCTCGGGGAAAATCCCCCCCGTTTTGTTCATTTGGGGCTCACTACCATTCAGGACTCAAATTGTCACGGTTCTAAATCTGAACCAAAGAGTCCAAATCCGGCAAATCGTTTTTGAAAATAGATTTTTTTGTGAAGAAGTGCCAAACATGGACTGCTTTGCCAGATACAGAGTCGCCACCTAAATATTTTATTGGGAGAATTTAGGAAACCCTGACTCATTTGCCTAAGGCCACGTGTCCGTCATAACCAAAGTTGCCTCGGCTTGGGAACTTGGGTACGATTGGGGAAGGTCAGCTATGAGCACCACCTCTCGCCCGATCAAAGATCGGACTCTACTAACCATGATATCTAGTTTTGAAAACATTATGCGTTCTTTTTTTGATTAATTAGCTAATGTTACTATGTGATGTGCTATAAAGACCCCAAAATGCATATAAGAAATCATTGGTATTTAACTATGAGATGAGGTGTTTTAATTTAATTATATCTTTTGGAATTGAAGCATTATCTATTGAGTTACGGATTTAAAATTGAAATTACCGACCTATATGGGTTCAGAAATCAAAATTGAGTACTTGGATAAGTTAATGGGAATTTTTTGAACTATTTGGGACAATTAATTGGAAATCTAATTTGTCTGATTCGTTAATGCACGTTTGGGCAGTTAACTTTATACTGCAAATTGAAGGCATTAGAAGCTTCAGAAACAAGAACAGGGGACATATTTATGATCCTCATAATTTTTAGAGTTATCTGGGAAGTTTAATTGAAATTTGATTTCGTACGAATCGTAAGGCCACGTTTGGCTCTCTCTATTGTGTTAGTATGTATCTGTATACTTATATTATGGGTGCCTTATGAGTGGATGGACTCATCTCTTAGAATCAAAAACAAATATCTAGAGGAAAGGGGGAGCCGCGTGAGAGAGGGAGAGATAGAGAACTCAAGGAGAAGAAGGAAGGAAGAGCTTGAGAATGAAGAGGAAAGATGGGAAAATTGATGGAATTACTTCAAGAGATTGGCTCTAGGTATGTGAAATCAACTTAACCCCTTAAGATTGATCTATTACTAGTTTCAATTCATGATCTCAAACAAAGAGAAACCACCTAATTGAGTTTTGGTTGATAGATATAAGTTTAGATGAACTCTTTTCATGAATTGAACCTTGATTCCTTAAGAGTTGGTTAATTGAAGAATTAAAGTCATTATATTTGTTTATTTTGAGGTTATGATGTTTGATGGAGAATAATAATGTGAAATTGGTCATATATTAAAGGGTTTTGGGCTTTGATTTACATGTAATTAAGGTTTGATTTTGAAAATGAGAAGTCCCAAAATTTCAGCCATTTTCGGACTGCAAACCGTCCAGGGCCGCACGTGCGGCACTGTTTCCCCGCACATGCGGAGACAACTCTCTCCAGCCAACTTTGAACAAGCATATCTTTTGCATCCGAACTCTGTTTTGAGTGATTCTGGAGCCTAAAATCAAGCCCCGGAAGTCTAGTTTCCAATGGTGGTGGTCTCACTTCCAAATTCTAAATAAAAAAATAGTTATGCCCAAATTAGTGACGACTATTCACTTTCTGTTTACCAATTTGTACCATTTCTTCGTCTGAACCTTTCTCCTATCGATTCCTCCTATCTTATGAGGAATGGATTATAACCTTTGGAGGACTAATGAGTCTAGAACAACCATAGCTATTGAGTGAAGAATAAAAAGAGATTGGTTTTATTCTCATAATCTGTTATATGCATTGTGTTTGTAGGTCAAGACGAGGACATCGTTCCACCGCTATCAGAGACCTACCGCTGTGAGTAGTAGTACTATAGTCGCACGTTCAAGTATTGTTAATGATTGTCATTGCTAACATTTTGTCCCTTGCAAGTAATTAAGTTAACAATATGTTGATTGGAAAATCTAGAGGCATTATTGAGCAGTCCATTCTGTTTACTGTTGACAATGAATACTAACTTTCTGTTATTTGCAATATAGCTATAGTGATTCATGACGAACAAATAGAACGTATGAGCATTATGGAACTATGGTATTCCGGTACCTCTGGAATCATTCAATCGGTAAAATGTGTTTACCTTTCGTTAATAATTATCAAGAACGTTCTGTTAAACTTAAGTTAACTGCATTAACTCATGTCAATGATGCAATGGTTACCATTAGCACTCTGTTAATTGCAGGTCAACCATGTTAACATATATAAACGATTAAACAAAGGGGTATGTTACTGATTAATAGCTCAAGTGAACCATGTCATTTCTTAATGAATAAAATGAATTTGTGTTCATCTTCGAAGAATCAGAATAATTGGAAAGTTATGTGAATCCATATGAATTTGAAGTTATTTTGTTGTGTTACATATGAACTCGAAGTTATTCAGAATCTACGACATGAACGCAAAAGTTTAACATCATTATGTGACCCACATAAGAATGTGAATCATTCTATTTTGTTCAGCGCACGGTAATGACATGATATACCGAGAAATGCTTTATTTTATGGTATGTGACCCTATGAATTAATGAATGATTATCCACATATGTAAAAGTATTCATGGCATCCTTAGAACAAGGCCCTTACCTGGGGGTAATAATACCGTGGTCTTATGGCCCTTGCCGGGGGGTAATAATACCGTGGTTCAAGTATGTTACAAGATATCTCTTGCCACCGACGGTCTTGTATGGGTGGGTTATGTTTTACCATCGACGGTCTCGTACGGATGGTATCACCGACGGTCTTGTACGGGTGGATTATGTTTTACCATTGACGGTCTTGTACAGATGGTACCACCGACGGTCTTGTACTTGTGGGTTATGATCAAGCATGAACTCTGATTTCTGTTTCTGATTCAAGCATAAGTAAGAATATGTATGAATATGTTTCTATTTATCCATTCCGTTTATGCCATGTTATAACATGATATGAATTGATCGGTCTTTAAGACCTAATGATTTCTGGTATGGAACAAAGTGTTGTACGGAACTAAGTGCTGCAATGTGAGTCACCTCTAGAATCCGTACGAGCCACCTCTTGAGTCCATACATATGTTCAAGGGCTTAATGCCAACTTTTCAAGGGCTTCATGCCAAATGTACAAGGGCTATATGACAACATGTTTAAGGGCTTCATGCCATATGTTCAAGGGCTATATGCCAACATGTGTAAAAGCTTAATGTTAATATGTTCAAGGGCTATCGCCAATCCATTCAAAGGCTTAAATCCATTATCTTTCAAGATTGGGCCTAGGGCCATTCAAAAATTAGTACAGAATCAGATTAATTATATGATCTCCGCATTTACATACGCATTGATATGTATTATGATTAAGTTGAATATTGAATCATTTATATACTATTATTCACTAAGCTTCGCTCACTTTGTGTTATGTCTGTTCTGTAGGTAATTACTTTGAAAGTCCGTCTTAACCCTTGATGCTTACCCTTCAATTGTCAACCTCAGTATGCCTAGACTCCCAGACCAAGCCCATGCATTTATGTGAAGTTTTGTTAAGATTTTGTCATGCACTTTAATTATTTACTTAAGGTTAAAATGTATGTATATACCCCCTTTCTTTACCAATGTTCGGATATACACTCATTTATATGTATGGGTATGTATATAGATAAATGGCTCTCACGTATGTGATCCTGGCATGTTAGTTTTAGCTCAATGGATGTTATTCTATGTTACTTTGTAATATTAAATGCTTCCGTTCAGGCCTCGTATATTATGTATATCAGGTCATGTGTCCATATCTGCATAGGTCATGCCCGAACTTTTAGGGGCGAGTTTGGGGTGTGACAAGTGGTATCAGAGCACGAGTTACTATCTCACACACGAATCCATTGGGCTTAGGATGTCTAGAAAAGACTTAGGTATCATGCATGACATCCTTACTACATATGAAAAGATGGATAGCAACGTTAAGTGTATCTGGTAACGCTAATAATCATGATCAATGTCTATTGTACTTTCTTTGTGTATATGGCGATTGGTTGTGATGCAGAATATGGTAAGTATAAAGACGGAAGATCTGGCGGGTTCTACCCCCGCACGGTTAGACAAAATGAAAAGGAAAATTATGGGATTAAATTAACAAAGTTGCGTAGCGGAAGCGCAGTGAGGGTTCGAACTCATCGGTAAGATAATTTATATGCCAATGTGTGACATCTGTTGTTATTTTAGGTTGGTAATTACCCGTAAGAAACGATAATAACGTGATTGTGCTTCCTAACATCTGTTTAGATGGTGTGATTAAACTCTAAGTATGGAATATTTCTAAGATCAAAGAAAACGATATATGTGATCCTCTAACCTTTATGCTATAGTTATGTCTTCCTTGCCAAAATAATGTCTAGATCTTTGATTTTGAGAGGTTACTGTATTTGAATATTTGATAAGATGTGTTTTGCAGAATAATTGAAATCATGTTGAGTATGATTGGCTGTAAGAAGAAGTTATGCATATTGGGCTTGAAACAACATGTAAAAAAAATGTGATTTTGTGAACTGAGGAAATTATTGACGATTTCTGCTGGGGAACCAAGAGGATTATTGATGATGTCGAATGAGTTTTGTTTATGGGTTAACGGGATTTGTTTATGGAAATCTGTAATCTATTTTGTTTATGAGTGGTCTGTAATCGATAATCAGGATATTTTATAAGGAATGGTTAAATGACATGAAGGACCTTATCCAGGTTATGTGTCTGTCCACATGATACTTGTAAGAAAATGGGTAGTTATTGACTACTTTGAGATCAATTAAATAAATAGGGATATGATATTTTCCCATAAGAACAAAAACCCTGCCTACGGGTATTAATGACTTAAGATTGAGAAGTCATTTCTGTGATATATTTCTGTGTAAACATGCAAATGTTAGATATTGCAAATTGTCAAATTAAGGGTGAAATATTTGTATGAGAATTAATTCAAGACTTGTTCCTTTAATGTGATCTGCAAATGAGTGATCATTGGAATGGAACTTATGTGATCTATGTTATTTAGAGGTGTCATACTACCAATTACGTTCGGTACTTCTGACATAGATGAATAATGTGTTATCCTGTGTGAGTTGACTATAGACCTGAGTAAGTAATGTCTTTGTAAAAGATACTTTTGTATAAAGGATTTTGAAAATGACTATGTTTTACGATGTTTATGAAATTTATATTTTGGGACCTTTACGACCAGGAATTCTACTTCGACTGTTGTGGAGCCTGCTCGAACAGGTAGTATGATCTTCCCTAACGGGTACTCAGGATTCGTATTAACGCCGAACAGTGGGTGAGGCGCCGGAGACAGATTTGACTCGTTGAAGCCTAGTTTGATGAAAGTGTTGTAATACATAACCTCTGAAGTACTCCCTGGGTCTATGAGAATGCGCTCAATGGTGAACCAATTTATGCATAATTTGATGACCAACGGATCGATGTGGGAGGCTGTTGTGCCGCTAAGATCGGAGTCATTGAAAGTATTTGTCGGAGCTTCTCTGGGCCATTCGGTCGGAATACGCTGCTTTTGGGCGATTGGATGCGATTGAATTGTGTGCACGGTTGGGGATGCAGGCAAGCTGTAGATTATATGGATCACGCCAAGTGGAGGTGAGTCCTGCCTCAAAGCTAATGCCTTGATTGGCTTTCCCTTTTCTCACGTACTGTTGCAGTCGGCCGTCTTGCACCAGTTCTTCCAGGTGATCCTTTAACGTGTAACAACTCTCGGTTTCGTGGTCGTGATCTTTGTGATAATCGCACCGCCTATCCCTTCTTTACGTGTCTGTTGGCCCCACCACCTTTGACGGCCATTTGAAGATTAGAAGGTGTTGGACTTTGGTCATTATTGCAATGATTGGTTTTGACAACTCTGTGTACTTCTTGTCGGCATGCCTTGAGCGCCTACTGTCAACTTGAAGTTGTTCATTCGTTCGGTGGGAGCATTGATCACTTGATCGGTGAGAGTCCTGCCTTTTGTCTCATTTAGCGTTGTCGTGGCTCAGGGCTCGGAGGTGGCACCGAACTTATTGGTTGAGCAATTTCAAGGGGGGCCGTTTTGTTGGACATTTGTCCGACTTTTATTCTCAAGGCATCATCTTCCACTTTCCAATAAGCTTCAACTTTCTTCATCAACGCCCAGACTGTTTTGGGGGGTCTTCTGGTCAGGGAACTGCGAAGAGCACTGTCAGGATGTAGCTCTATTTCGAAGGCAGTGATGGCCATGGAGTCATTGCAAGCGTCGTCGACGAGGTTGAAGCACTCCCAATAGCACGCCGAATACGCTCTGAGCGTTTCTCCTGACTGGATCTACATAGCCCAGAAAGAGTCGGCTTGTTTCGGCTATACCTCGTTGGTGATGAACCTGGCCCTAAAGGATTTCTGTAATTGATGAAAGCTTTTGATCGAAGCTGGCTCCAGCTTGTAATACCACCTGACAGCTAATGGCCCCAGGCTGTTGGGGAATATTCGGTACATGAGGGCTTCGTTGTCTTCATGCAATGTCATGGCCTACTTGTAGCGACGGATATGATCAGTGGGGTCTGATTTTCCGTCGTAAAGAGTGAATGATAGAGCTTTGAACTTCTTGGGCAGGGCCGCCCTTGCAATCCGTCGGACAAAAGGATCGTGCTGGTCCTCTTCGTCTGAACTGCTTCTTCTGCGCTTGTTCCTTTTATGTAGACTCTTTTCAGAGGAGCTGGAAGTTTTGGATCATCCATTCTTGTTAAGCTCCGTGGGTAATGAGTTAGAGTCGCTATCGGTATCCTTTGGTCGGGCTCGAGGTCGTTGTCCACCTGCCCTCGGAGGTCGTTCGGGATCTTGGCGCACGGCTTCTCTGGATTTTGCTACTTCCAGGGCCAAATCTTGACGGAGACGTTCATTTTCAGCGATCATGTTCTCCAGCCTTTGTTCATTCTGCTTTGCTTGTTCCATGATCGCTTGCATTGTCTCTTGCGCTGAAGTCGTTGGTTAGTTGAAGTTCAAGGCGCGTCTTGCAGCGATGGTTTCCCTTTCGAGCATATTTGCTGGAGTGAGGTCATCTCTCTGTGCGATCTCGTCAGTGGCTATCAGTCATGCCTGCCATGGATGTATTTGAGTATTCCCACAGACGGCGCCAATTGTGGAGAAGTGGTTTGGAAATACTCTTCAGATCCTGGGAGACGCTAGTGATCCTCAGCTAGTCACCTGAAAAAATACAAACACTCCGGTCAGGGGTGCCGGAATTAGTACTCCGACGTGTTTACTAAGTTAAGCGAAGTGATTCTTACATACCTTTCTCAATCCATTGTTCCGGTATTTATACCCATTCCTTTTGATCCTCGGGGCCAGGGCCTACTTTTTAATCATTGTCCTTTCTTTTATTCGGCTCTAAGGATCTACACTTATTCAGCACATACATTATATTCGGCTTCCCATTCTCGTAGGATACAGCCGATTAATATCAGTCTTCTAAGGTACGCATCTTCTAATTTTGCCATTATTCGGCTCCCACCGGCACTAATTGTTTCATTAGCTTAAGTGACCAAGTTTAACTCAAACTAATCTTCTTTAGCTTCCAAGAATGAGATTTTTCTGAGTAATCGTAGCTTAACGATATTAGTTTAACTTGAACACCTCGTTTAATGTTTTCTAAGTAACCTAAGTGTTCAATTCTCAAGACCAAAACGAAGAATTTGAATTCCCGTTTATTTTCTTCTTATTCCACTTTCTTTTCTCTAACTTTCTCTTCTACCTCTCAAAAGAATATTTCTATCCAACTTTCTTCGTCCTTCACTATCCTTCTCTATTTTTTTTTCATGAACTAATTAGCTTAGGTAACTAATTGTTTCATTAGCTTAAGTGGCCATGTTTAATCCAAACTTACATTGCTTGGCCACCAAGAAAGAGAATTTTCGAAATAATTGTAGCACAACGATATTAGTTTAACTTAAGCACCGCATTTAAGGTTTTCTAAATCACCTAAGTGTTCAATTCTGAAGTCCAAATGAACGAATTTGAATTCCGTTTGATTTTCTTCCTATTCACTTTCTTTTCACTAACTTTCTTACCTAGATATCAAGAAGAATGTTTCTCTCCAACTTTGTCCGTTATTCTCCAACTTTCTCTCTATTTTGTTCATGTAACTAATTAGCTTAGGCCACTAATTGTATCATTAGCTTAAGTGGCCAAGTTTAAGTCAAACTAACCTTGCTTGGCCTCTAAGAAAAAGAATTTTCTTGAGTAATTGTAGCTTAACGATATTAGTTTAACTTAAGCACGTCTTTTAGGATTTTTTAAACCACTTAAGTGTTCAATTCTCATGTCCAAAAGGATGAATTTGAATTTTCTTTAATTCTCTACTAATTTCTCTTTCTTTTCTCTAACTCTTCGTTCTGCCTATTAAGAATAATGTTTCTATCAAACTTTCCCTGTCCTTCTCTATCCTTCTCAATTTTGTTCCAGGAACTAATTAGACTAAGCCACTACTTGTTTCATTAGCTTAAGTGGCCAATTTTAACTCAAATTGACCTTGCTTAGCCTCCAAGAAAGAGATTTTTTCTGAGTATTTGAAGCTTAACGATATTGGTTTAACTTAAGTACATTGTTTAAGGTTTTCTAAGTCACCTATGTGTTCAATTCTCAAGTCCAAAAGGATTAATTTGAATTTCC